AGATATTTAAACATCACATAGCACAGAACAGAAGCTAGGGCCATGGGAAATATGGATGAAATATATTGTGTGAAAATTCTTTAACCTTTTTTTTATATATATAAGAAAAAGAAAGAGAACCTGGGTATGATGGCTAACAATGGTTGTCAACCTGACAGGATATAGAACTCCTTAGAGACAAGTTTAAGTGTAGCTGAAAGAGCCATCCCGACTGTGGACATCGCCACTTAGTGGGAGGGAGTCCCAGACTGGAGCAAATGGGGACAAAGGGGGAGCACCACTGACCCCTGCTCTCCACTTCCTGATTTCAGAGCAATCAACAGCAGCCTTAGGGTACTAGAGCTCTGTGGTCCCCCTCCATGATCACATCCCCTGCTGCTGTAAGCCAAGATAAAGTCCCTGCTCGGGTACTTGGTTGCAGCATTAGGAAAAGTAACTATTAGGTGTGGTACACACCTGCAATCCCAGAGCCCAGGCCCCAAGGCAGAAAGACTAAGATTCAGAGGCTTAGATTGCACAGTAAAACCCTGTAACACACAAAAGGGGAGTGAGGAAGAGACGGAAAGAGTTAAGAAGCTTTAAGACATGACACCTAACTAAAAATATAGACTGTGCCCCATTAACGCCTGAAAGAATTAGCAGGCTATGGCGCCTTCCCCAAGGACCACATCAGAATCCACACTTGTAGACCAGAGCTGGCTCTAAGCTCTGTGTTTCCCACCAAAATTTTTAACAAAGGCAAAACTAAAGCCAAGAACGAGAGAGAGAGAGAGAGAGAGAGAGAGAGAGAGAGAGAGAGAGAGAGAGGGGTGGGTGTTCCTTGAAGCATGTGTCTACTTGACCAAAGGCTGGAGGTGACAGAACGAAGGCATCTGACATGTGACCCAGTGCACTGCTGACATGTGACCCAGTGCTCTGCTGATATGTGACCCAGTGCTCTGCTGACATGTGACCCAGTGCTCTGCTGACATGTGACCCAGTGCTCTGCTGACATGTGACCCAGTGCACTGCTGACATGTGACCCAGTGCACTGCTGACATGTGACCCAGTGCTCTGCTGACATGTGACCCAGTGCTCTGCTGACAAGCTTCAAATTCTATTGTAATGAAGGAATAATTTATGGACATTGGCCAAGGAAGGAAAACCTCTGGAAATATGCTGTCACTTATTCCTCACAGGCTCTCAATAAATAAGCTTTTAAGTAATGTGACTAAAATAATTCATACATCACTAAAATAAGCATTCCTAGCTTTCCTGAAGTTAAGGGACATTTAAAATGTTGTGACAGCCTCTAAGTTGCCCTTTTATAGTTCTAAAACAAGCAAGCAAACAACAGCCTTAAGAATGCAGAGACCTGATGCTTTCTTTCCACACCTCCAAATCCAAGAAGCCCCACCCCCACCCCGGTCAAACAGCTGGCCACACAGTTTCATTTGGATGTTTTCAGGGACAAAGTACACTTTTTAAAAAGTTGTGGGTCATCTCCATTTCAATCATACAGCTTAATGACAGGGCTCTGTGTTAAGTCTGGCAGTGTCCTCCAATAGGAAACATAGTCCCAAAAAGTAGAAGTGTTTGAGGTGGCATCTGATGGGAAAGGATTAGGTCATGAGACTCCACGTTCAAGCAAGGATTTAGCCCCACTGTAAACAAGGATAAGAGTTTGACCACCATGCCCTAGGCGAGTCCCCGATGGCTTCTGCCACCTTCGAAAGCCCTCGCGGAACGTGGTTTCCTTCATTTTGGACTTCTAGCCTCCAAAAGCTAATAACTGTTCATTAAAAACAAAAATCACCCAGTCAATGGTATTTTGTTATAGAATACAAAACGAGTAAGAGTATCTGAAATAAGTAACTTGAATTAGGCTCTCTGTGGACTTGTTTACCTCAGAACCAGTTTTGCTCTCAAGAAAATAATGGATTAGTCTAGTTTCTTTGCTTTGTCTTTTACATTGAGCCTTGACACTAGTGAAGTACTTGGCATTGTGTGTGTGTGTGCACGCGCATGCACACACACACACACACACACTCGAGCAGACCCCACAGGTCAGCAAGGGCTATCTTTCTCAATTGCTCTCTAACATATATTTCTGAGACAGGTTCCCTAATCAAAGTGGTGCTCACTAATTCAGCTACATTAGCTGGTCAGAGAGTCCCAGAAAACCTCCTCTCTGCTTCTGCCCTGGGGCTAGGGCATACATCCTCACACCTGGCTGCTTAGGCAAGCACTAAGAAACTTCGCTCAGATCCTTGCTTGTCCAGCAAGCACTTTACCAACCGAGCTATTTTTCCTCTGTTCCCCTTTTGTTTTCATTCCCCCACCCCCACCCCCACCCTTTGGTTTGGTATTTTGCTGGCATGTACATTTCTGTACCATATACATGTAGCACCTGTGGAGGCCAGAAGCGGGCATAAAATCCCTCTGGAACTTGAGTTGCAAACAGTTCTGAGTTGCCATGTGAACGCTGGGATCTGAACCTGGGTCTTCTAAAAGAGCAATCAGTGCTCGTAACCACTGAGCTATCTCTCTAACTGCTTAGATCTAAGCGCCACTCACTCCAGCAAAGCTCCAAACACTTCTGGGCACTGGGAGTACAAAGCGGAATGGGGCATAGTGCCTGGAAGGGCACATGGAGGTGATTTTTTTTAAAACCTTGTCTTTAAGCCATTAAGATGGCTTTCAAACGTTTTAACCTCCCAGAGGTAGTGGAAAAGAAAAGATATGGGGGAAGTGGACCTGTCTAGAAATGGTTCTTTGGAGCAACTCCCATCCGTGTTGTCTAGAATTGGCAGTTCAGTTCACAGGTTAGCAGCAGCAGCTCAATACACTGACAAACATTTCATGAATATACCAGCAGTCCAGCTCAGTAGAGTTGGGTTAGCAACATTGGTGACATGACCTGGCAGAGACAGCCAGGCCTCAGCCTCGGCTTGAGTCAGCAGGAGGGACCCAGAGGGACACCAGGAGAAGTTCTCAGCTGTGCATCTCTCAGGGAAGGGAAGATCAGGAAAACTCATAAGCATTATACAGCTAGCTGTAGCAGCAAGCCACCCTCTGTCTCTGTCACTCTGTGGAGTCCTATTTATACCCTCCAAACATCACATGTTCTCCACACATCTTGCCTGAGCACATGTGTCTGTCTCAGCTGACATCTCTCTGCCATCAGCCCGAGACTGCAGAAGCAGAATCGGAAGCTGAAACAGTAAGAAACTGCAGCATACTATCAGAAGTTTTTGGGTTCATTTCTCTCTATGGTGTCCTGACAAATGTAACTCAACTATGCTATCTAAAGCAAACCAATACATGCATGCTGTTAGCAAAGACTCCTTTATCATGTGTCCTTTCTTTAGCAGAACATCCTTTCTCCTGTGTCTGCTTCAGCTAAACATTCTTTCACGAGTCTGTCTTAGCCTTTCATGTGTGTCCATTTCAGCTAAATGTTCCTTCATGTATTTGCCCCAGCAAAATACCATCCAACCGACTTTCCAAAGAACCCTTAAATTTACCCTTCAGATGACCTCAGAGTAAGAGCAGCTAAAGCAGCCATGTCTAAGTCAGGCCAAAGAAACAGAAGTCATTGCAGTAAGAACTACAGGGAACATGACAGTGAGCATCATGCCGAGATTAAAAGCTTGGATTCAAATTCCCATACTAAAACTTCAACATAAATTATTAAACAATAGCTTAATCCAATCTGGACAAAATCTTTTTGTTTGTTTGTTTGTTTTTTTGTTTGTTTGTTTTGTTTTTCAAGACAGGGTTTCTCTGTGTAGCCCTGGCTGTCCTGGAACTCACTCTGTAGACCAGGCTGGCCTCAAACTCATAAATCAGCCTGCCTCTGCCTCTCAAGTGCTGGGATTAAAGGCGTGCATCACCACTGCCCGGCTTTGGACAAAATCTTAGTGAATTTAGTTAGTTAGTAGAATTCTAACTAAGCAGTTAAGCAATACATATTTGCTAACTAAAACTTATTCTATAACAAATCTTGAAAGGAATTGCACTACAAAAGTTCTCAAGGGGTTGAGGTTAGTTTTCCTGGTTTTTGAAGTGAAGTATGAAGTCACTGTTTCATGAAAACTCAAAGCATTAAAATGTGGACATTGGGGATTCCATAACAATTCATTGATAGAAAGCTTCCCTGCCCGCCCCCCCACCAAAACACTAACGATACAGTTTAGTTGAACAATACTCACAGTGAAACAGCTCAGGTCTTAAGTCATCATCGTTCAATTATATAAAACTATTAAAGTTCCTGTGAGCACACAGTCTTGTGTGAGACCCAAAGTTCTTATCACTTTCCTTGTGGCTTTTCCACACTCTGACACTATTTCTTTAGCACTCCAGCCCGTGGTAAAAAGAAATGAAGACACCACTCGGCTCTGTGCAGTCTCTTTACAACATGTACAGGTGATTTCTGTACTGTGGAGTTAAATTCGGTCAACTGTCTGTAGTTAACAGTGATTTTCATTTCTAACGCAGTTCTCCTAATTAGGACCATTTGTAGGATCGGTTTTTAGTATAAACCAGAAGAAAGATAAACCTGAGAGTACTTCTTGTCCTTAGAGTTATTATAAGCCACTTGGTCATTGCTAAGGTCTTAGCTTCAGGAAGACATTGTGCACACCTGACTGTTGACACAGCCCATGGGGCTCTCTTCCCTAGACCGGGCCCTGTCCGTGGGTTAACAGGGTGAAAACAGAAAAAGACAGTCGACTGTCACTTTGGGAGCATTTCCAAACTGCACCCTCTCACCGCCGCAGCCACAGAAAGCTAATGAGTGCACTGCAGACCTAGGACACTATAATCAGGGCCTGGCTAGCGTGGATGTTAACATGTTTACCACTGCTAATAAAAAGGATCCAAGAAAGAACAGGAGGCAAATAAAGGTATTCCTGAAGATGGCTATGTCTACAGAGATTTAGTGTCCGAGCTAGACCTGTAGGAAAGACAGAAACCAGGAAAACAAGGACTTCCCATTACCTGGATGCATACATGCTTACCTCCAATATTCTGAATTATTATGGTGCCTGCCACCACCACCTATAAGAGAACAAATATATTCATAAGATAAAAGGAAAAAAAACAGTAGAAAAGGACAGAATTTTATTAACGTTCAGTAACGAATACAACAAAGATAGATGCAGAACTCATGACCAAAGAGACTGATTGCAAAGAACGAATTTTGTCAGCTGTTTGTCCTACCTCAGTGGTTCCCAACCTTCCTAATGCTGCCACCCTTTAACATAGTTCCTCATGTTGTGGTGACCCCCTAACCATAAAATTATTCTCCTTGATATTTCATATTGCAGTTTTGCTACTGTTATGAATCATAATATACATATTTGGTGTTTTCCAACGGTCGTAGGTGGCCCCTGTAAAAGGGCTGTTCAACCCTCAAAGAGCCTGAGATCCACAGACTGAGACCCACTGCACTACCTGAAATCAATGACTATCACATAAAGTCTCCCTTTAATACCTCCCTGAGCAGGTTGGAGTGGGTGGTCCCAACACTATATATAGTACGTAAAGGAATTGATAGTCTTCTGGCATCGGCTTGGCCTTTGGACATCCTAGTGTCAAGGATTAAACAACCTACAGCAGAAAACTCTAGGATACAATGATCAGAGCAAGAAAATTTAGGCAAACTGTTTCAAACTCAAAGACAGTGAAATAAACTAAGTCTAAAGCAGCAGGTGTGACAAGGACTGGGGCTCCTCTCCTTCCTATTCTGCCTTCCTATTCAATCAGGCATTCGAGAAAGTAGATCCAATGTGGCCAGATCATCTAGTATTTAGTAAGCCAGAAAGTGATTTTCACAATTTCACCCTTCAATAATTGTGAATAACAGTTGAGCCAGGCCGTGGTGGCGCTCACCTTTAATTCCAGTGCTCTGGAGACAGAAGCAGGTGGATCTACAGAGCTAATCCCAGGACAACTAGGGTTATACACAAAGAAACTCTATCTTGACAAACAAAACAAACAAAAATAATCTAAGAGTTGGCAATGGGCTAAAAATAAAAAAGATCTGAGTTAAACAAAGTATGCCTATGATAAGCTGTCTGTTGGCTCCTGTTTCTAGTCTTGGATGAGCTCCTGGAGAATCGAGAGAAAGTGTTTAAAAATTATACTTTCTTGGGCCTCTGGACCACTCAACACCGGCCTGTGACCACCAGCAAACATTTGGAGCTGACTAGCTACCTTGAATCATTCAGGCCTCCACAGACTGAGGACAGGTCACACTTAAGGTTCACCTCTACAGGGAATTCTTCCTGGGACAAGTTCTGCCTATCCTGGAAACCAGTGTCGACCAGAGTCCTGGCAGTCTGCAGTCTGCAAGTCTAATAAGCTATCTAGAGATGCTATTGTGCAGCTGGTTTTATGTCAGCTTGACACAAGCTGGAGTCACTAGTGAAACTGTGACGTGGGGCTAGAGCAGGCCTGCAGGGGATTGTCTTAGTGATTGATGTGGGACGGCCCAGCCCACTGTAGGTGGTGCCACCCCTGGGCTGGTGGTCCTGGGTTCTATAAGAAAGCATTCTGAGCAAGCCATGATGAGCAAACCAGTAAGCAGCACTCCTCCATGGCCTCTGCATCAGCTCCTGTCTTCAGGTTCCTGTCCTGTTTGAGTTCCTGCCTGACTTCCTTCAGTGATGGATTGTTTCCTGGATGTTTAAGCCAAATAAACTCTTCTCTCCCAGTTTGCTTTTGTTTCTGGTGTTCTATCACCATGACAGTAACTCTAAGACAGTGGTCATGACCACTTTGATGTTTCCTACAAGGCAGCTTGCACCTCAGCTTCGATGGGTCCCTGGAAACCCAGTTGTTTGTGGGAAGACAGCTCTGACTTTGTGTGTACCACTTGCAATGCAAATGAAACCCACTGGCCACACAGAAATACTTCTATCTTTTATGAATATACTGTAAATACAGCATCTTAGTACTAACCCTTTCTCTTTTCCTTGGCTAAACTTAGGTATTTAATGTTTAGAAAGCTAAAATGAATGTCTGTCTATCTGTATTTCCTGTGCCTACTACAGTACATGGCATAGCATTGCTCAACACAAACTCATCTGATAAGTAAACACACAAATTTAAAGACAATTTTAAAACAAATCCTTAAAATTTTCAAAAATATTTCTTTGATTCTCAGAATGATACTATCCAACCATACATTATTCCAGAGGGAAGAAAATGGAAATTTCAGATTAGTAATAGAATGGGGACAAAGTACAGACAAAATCTATCAAGTCCTCACTCTGGTTACACTCTGCCCAGTGAAGCTGCCTACGTGGAGTGGGCAACATGCAAAGAGCAACATGAGAGCTCATGTTCATGTCCATGGCCCACATGCTCAGTCTGCACCGATATGCAGGGGTGAGGGTACTACTACAGCGAGCTAATGGCAGAGTGCCACCGAGACACAAGGACTCACACCTAAATCAGCCAGGGGGTTCCCTTCTTGTCTTCTTGGTTGCTGTTACGGTTGCAGATATTGTGTACTCTGTTGTACGTACACGCATGCACCCATGTGCCAGGTTATGAGGTACACACGCTGTGCAGGTTATGTACTACCATGTGTGAAGGACAAAGGTGGCTGCAGGAGTAGTCCTCCACCGTTCTCTACCTTGTCTCTTGAGACACAGTCTCTCACTGGACTTGGAGCTGGCTGTTTTGGAGAGAACCCTGGCATCCCCCTGTTTCTGCACTCACCCTTAGCACTGAAGTTTCAGGAATATTCTGCCATGTGCAGGTTTATAAAGATGTAAGCCCTGGTATTACCTAAGGTTCATGTGCTCCCTCTACACTCCAGGAGTAAAGAGAACTGGAAGCACATATAGAGTTTCTTCCCACTGTGGAGCAGTGACTCCCTCTGAGACTCACTCCTTAAGTTTAGCCATTTACAACATGGAATCCACAAAGACTACAAACAGGAGAACAAATGTGGGAGACAACTCATAAGTCAACTAGCTTGAATGTAGCCCCTACAACGCATATGGGTTTCAAAGTATCAAGTGTATGATGTATGTGACTTACTTGTTAATTTAAAAATAAACGCAAACAGAAAGCACTAAGAGATTTATAATCAGAAACCTTCTTGTTTAAAACTAGAATAACTATGGGTTTAAAAGTGGCTCTTGAGACACTGAGGAAGAACACAAGCATAGCAACACTATCAGCAATGCTTAGCCATGGCCATCTCTAGGAAAAGTGTTTCCCTACAACTTTAAAGTTAGAAAACCTATTGGAAGCCAGTGCCAAATACAAGTTTGCTTTTATTTTTATTATTCCAAGGAGAACCAGCATACATAACATCTATAGTCGTCAGATATGGAACCGGTATTGGGTAACAGTTGATAACAGGTCCCTCTGGGTCTTAATTTCCCCACATGCAAACAATGGGACGGTCAGGGAATCTTTCAGTACTGTTCAGTTCTTATAAAATACTACCTATCTAATTACTGCTTTGGAAAACAGGCATGCTATAATTTTAATTCTACATTGTTTTCTTCCCTTTTAAGGATTCACTCAGAGGATATGACCAAAATGAACGAGGAAACTGTACGGCTCCCGTTACCACTCTGCCGTTCATCAAGTGAGCAGCAAGATTTAGAACCGAATTGATTTACAGACGTGCTTCGGAAGGGGTGCAGATTTCTCTATATTTTCCATTCCCATCATTCTGTCTCTTCTTCCTTTCATTTCCTCTCAGACTCTTAGGTCCTTCTCGTATATATATCTTTCTGAACTTGAAGAAGAACAGAAATACCCCTTAGGTTCTAGACACACTGAAGGGAGAGTGAAATTACCTTTCCAGGTAATCCAAAAGCGAAGAGTCCAAGATCTTCGTAAGATGTCACCGCTGTCACGACAAAGTACAATTGTTACTTTACACAAACTACTTGGGAAGGTTACTTCACTTGCAGGCTAGGCACAGTGCCACTCCCAGCTTCAGCCAGTGGGGACTACCAGTCTCTTGGAGCTCTGACATCCTGGATGGAGGTAGAGGTAGGAAGAAGGGGGAGCTCTCTTGGCTGCTTCCTATAAGGCCTTTGAGAGTTTTCTTTTTGACATGTTAATTTCTACTTTAAATGTAACCCACAGGCCTAAGATTTAGGTGTTTTTGCAGAATGTGTCTCTTTGACAAATAGTGGTGGCTTTTTCCTTGCTTTAAAAAAAAAAAATCACCAAGGGGGCTGCAGAGATGGGTCAGTAGTTCAAAGCACCAATTTGGTTCCCAGCTCACAACTCTATAACTCCAGGTTCAGGGGATCTGGTAAGCTCTTCCGGCCTCTGAGGGCACAGAGAGGCACACAGCGCACAGAGATACATGCAGGTGAAACACTCAGACACATACAACTGTTTTTTCTTTTCTTTCTTTCTTTCTTTCTTTTTTTTGAAAAAATTCCCTAAGGATTCATTTTATTATACTTCTCTAGTATATCTCACATTCTGATTCTGTTTCTTAAGTGTCCGTATTAATGGTTACTTTATATTCTTACTACGTTTCTAATGACTGTAAGATAGCACTGCTAGCACACTAACATTGTAACCGCTGAGCGCCAGTTCTCTACCCATCTGGCTGCTCTCATCTTGTAGGCCATCAAGGGGAGAGCTGTGTTTCCCTTAAATAGTCTGAAATACCAAAAGCAGGAAAAACCATTCAGTGTTAATTCTGAGGTCTAGTGGCTGGGGTCTATCCACCTTACAATCATAGATAGATGTCTGAACTTAGAACAGAGGTACTAACTTTGGGAAAAGAACTTTAAAGATGCATGTTCTGTAAAGCCAGAGTCTACTACAACAGGCAGACGTTAGCAAGTCCAGATTCCCAGCCTATGTGAATTCAATGGTCTGATTTCTTGAGAACATCTTGTTTGCATATACAGGACTCATGTACTTGGATACACACTATCCAAACAGAAATTGTTACTGGCAAGAATTTCTAAATATCGGACATACAGTTAGATGAGGTATGACAGTTGTACCACACTTTCAGGGACATCTGCCTTTCCAAGAGCTTAGAGTGACGATAATGCATTCACAATAGTAACAGTGCCTCCATCCTAGAGTTGGGGAAGGGGGGGGTACATATTTTCTTTTCTCATCATAAGAGTGTTAAATTACATTCTCATTTCATTGTGTTCAAAAAGTGTGGCTATTAAATACAGAAAAAAATGAAAAGGCTTGTAAGAGAGTCATGTTACACTCTCACAGACAGCCTTGTGTTCTAGCCAGTTCATGAGGCTCTCTAGCCCAGGAAGTGCAGAAGCCCACAGCACTTACACTGAGGAGAAGCAGGCTTGGAAACAGTAAGGCTTGGGAGAGCCATATACACTTTCTGTTAGTCACGGACTAGTTAAAGCCAGTTTTCGTGAATCTCTCAGGACATATGTGGGCTTTTCCAACTGCCATGTGGGAACAACAACAAAAAATCTTTTTGTATGTTTAGGATGAAGAACATTCAGGTATATAAAAACAAGCATTTTAAAAATCATAAGTGGATTCCATACAGTAACTATGGAACCGGGAAGGAAACAGTGTGATAATGAATAATAAAAGGCATTAACAATTAACAAAATCTTCATTTTAATCTATCATCAAGGCTCAAGGGACTCGGGAATTTTTTTGAGTGATGTATCTAGTTTTAAATATGCATTTCCATTTGAACTGTTAAACGTAATGCACACATATAATCTAGCATTGGACTGAGAAGACATACTTTATCTGGGTAGGCCATTCATGAAGGTCACACGGGCCTAGGGAGGCCCACGCTCACGCTCAGGAGTGTCCAGTTTCATGCCAGCCTCTTTTTCTCAACCTTGTGCTCAAAGTCTATATTAAAAATGTCATTTAAGCCAGGCGATGGTGGCACATGCCTTTAGTCCCAGCACTTGGGAGGCAGAGGCAGGTGGATTTCTGAGTTCGAGGCCAGCGTGGTCTACAGAGTGAGTTCCAGGACAGCCAGGGCTACACAGAGAAACCCTGTCTCGAAAAAACAAACAAACAAACAAACAAAAAATGCCATTTAATAAACTGGAAATCATACTGGTTCATACTGGCTTGAACAGAAATATTTTTCTGCAGAGAGGCCAAAGACCAAACCGGAGGTGTGGTCCCTTAAACATTAAGAAAACTGGGCTGACAGCCCCCGCCTCTGGCAAGGTGACAGGAACCCATGCACCATGGCTCCAGGCTTCCATTACTGCGTAAGAAAAACATTTCTATGTTGTCAGTTGTTTTTTTATCACTTTATAAAAATTACCTGACCTCAATGCCTTTACTACTTGAAAAACAAATTCCTGGTTTTCTAATGATAAACTCCCTCAGGCTCTCAGCCTTTCCCCCTCTGGTCACTGTGTACCCATCAGCAATGGCAGTCATGGTTACTGTCTTTCTCAGTGATGTCACACTTTTGTCTCATTAGATACAGCTTGTGAGCTTAAACTGCATATTCAATCAATGCATCCACATTCCACAAATACGCAATACTATCACGTATGTAAACTTAAACTGAATTAAATAGAATTAAACAGAATAACTGTAGTGATGCATATAATGAGACAAACGTAGAAAGACAAGAGGAGAGTTCCGCTGACAGAGGAGGGCTGAGCGGACACCGGCAGCGAGAGCCAGTTTTTATGACTGCGCATGCGTGTGATCCGAGCATTTGAAGTACACTGTTTCAGACTTTTTCCTCTACCACAGATGACTTCTACTGGAATTCACATTCATATTTCCTAGGATAGAATTAATATTTCCCCTTGGGTCAAGTTCTTTTGGAACCAAAATTCTTCTCTTCTCATAAATAAAATAGTTTAGCATCTCATTAATTCTCTTATAATATCATGGATCATTTGAACAGATCTAATATGGCAACTGGAAAAATCACACCAGACCATATTTTAAAATAAAAATAAATAAGAAAAACATTTCTTCTAAGAACCTAAAGCAATTAAATTTTCCAGTGTTACACAATGCTTTTCAAATGACCTATTTTGTATATGTTTGTCAGTATGTAAACTTGTTTGCTTCATTTTTGTATAGGGTACTGGACTCAAGCGTTACGTGCTACATACACATTCTACAGTCCAGCCTTGCTTTATATTTATGCAGTGGAAAGCATCAATTGATTGTGTATCTGGTAAAAATCGAATACCAATTAGCAACAAAACAAACAAATAAAAACAAAACAAAAAAACCCTCACACTGAAAAATTCTAAAGGGAACAGGTTTTTTTTGTTTGTTTGTTTTCTTGTTTTTCGAGACAGGGTTTCTCTATGTAGCCCTGGCTGTCCTGGAACTCACTCTGTAGACCAGGCTAGCCTTGAACTCTCGAACTCAGAAATCCGCCTGCCTCTGCCTCCCAAGTGCTGGGATTAAAGGCGTGCGTCAGCACTGCCTGGTGGGAACAGGTACTTCAATATCAAATTTAAACACTAAACCTTAAACGTTAAAATTGAACCCTTGCTTGTGACAGAAAGCACAGCGAATGAAACCTTAATGAAGACAGTTTTAGCAGCAGCTTGAGAAGTTGTGCAATCTCAAACCCGCCCTTTGGCTGTACTATTTCTTCAGCCTCATAAAATAGCTCTAAGCACCACTAAGTCCCAAACCGAAAGAGAAAAGGCGTGGGGCTTTTAGCTGGGGGCGGGTCCAGTGCTTCAGCCCTAAATCTAGCTTTCAGCAGGTCTGGGTCCTGCTCAGCTCTGTCTCTGTCATCAGGGCCTCTTTTATGTTGCAAAAATTAGAAGCACTTTCCCTGCCCAAGACACTGGGAATATGAATAATGGCTTCTGGCTTTGCTTTGAGGCTTTGTGAAAATGAAATGCGGACACAGCCAGCCAAGTGCTTTCTCCACATCTCAGCCTGTGAAGCAAAGCAGTCTGGGAAACCGTTTCCAAGCTCTCTTCTGTAGCCTGGGCCATTTCTACAATGCTAGTGAGAGTCACAGATTGGACTGATGGTCAGGATGCAGTCTGAACAACCACCCTTAAAACATTTGACCCTGGGAGCTTTGGTCCTAGGAGATAAGAATAAAACCAGGAAACTCATTAGACATTTAACCATGCCATGATTTACACTGGAAAAACAGGGCTAATTGAAATGTGCTACAAGGTGTTTAAGTAAATCATGGTACTGATACCTAATAGAATAATACAACCACAAAAGTCCATTTATAATAACAAAAATGCCCATATTATTTTAAGTGGGAAAAAGAAAAACAGGATTCAAATACAATCTATGAGGTAGACACATAAACAGTGACTAAGTCTTAAGTAACTTTTCTTTGGCTTTCTGAATTTTTGAGGAAAGGAGCTCAACTGTGTTATAATGACTTGAACAGCAAAGGAACTTTATTTTTAAAAATTGCAATGCCAAGCGTATTGACACAGGCCTGTAATGCCAGCTACTTATGAAGCTGAGGCAGGAGGATCACTTGAGAATAAAACTTTGAAAGTCAGTGAGCAACACAGCAAGACCCCCTGCCCCACGCTGCTTCAAAACAAAAACCCAAATAACACTTAAATAGTTCCACTTCCTCTAGAAACCTGAGAGTTGGCCGTTAAACTGAAATTCTATTTATTTTTCTAGTGCTAAGTAACTTGTTGCTTGATTTACAAGAAAAGAATTTTTTTTGTTTGCTTGTTTGTGGCTCTTTCATACATTTTACAGCATTATAAACATTAGGAAGATGTTTAAGAGACATAAAACTAAGTGTTGATAACCAATGAGAGAGTGACATATCCCTACAGAATAGGAATGACATCATAATTATGTAATTAATGCAGTCTTCTACAAGTAACACTTGGGGCAAACCTTCATATCAGCTGAAGCAATCACTAGCAACATGTTTTTAGA